GGGGGGAATCGGTACCCCCTTGGGGGGGAATCGGTTCCCTCTGAGCAATCTGGAATTTTTTGCTTTGAAGTGGTTCGAAATATTTTGTAAAATCGTTTTGAAATTATTTTAAGATTAAAACTTAATTTTACACTTGAGTAAGGATATAAAATGAACTTTGAAATACTTTGAGTAATATTTTGATATTCGATTTAATATATCGAATATGCTTAGAAAAATCTTTTTCAAAATTAAAATTCTTTTAATTTAATTTGTTATATCGAAACATCAAAATATTTTTTAACAAGGTTCTTGTAAACAACTTAACTTTTTGGTTATTTCAATTCCAAAACTCCAATAATTAAGCTTGAAATTGAGTCAAGAAGTTAGGTCCAAACCATCAAGTTTCCTTTGCATTTCTTCTGTCATTTTCTTAGCAATCCAATTGGCATCTTATTTAATGTATTATTCATGTCATTTATAACATAGCATTAGTTGTAAAGAACTACTGCTTTTTGACACCTTAATCTAATGGCACGAAGTAGTTAAATCAACGCTTACCACTGTTTTCAAATAGGAAATCCCATTTTCTTTCATTTTCCAGCAAAAAAGTAGCAAAATTTCAACAAATCCAGAAACTGTATGAATTAATGCCTACCACAAAAACAAAAGCATCAAAGAAATTGAAAAGGAAAGGGGAAACTTACAGTGCTTCTTCTTTGCTCAATTGCAACAGCTAAGCCAAAAGCAATAAGATCAAGAATAAAGACTCGACGCTTGTGTCTCCTCCTTAGCCACGAACCAGCGTCGCTGACATCTTCTCCGTAACCACGAACAACCTAGACATCTCTTCAACCACGATTCCGTCAAAACATCACCTTCCTTAACCCACGTAGTGAGTTTTTGTTCTTTGTTTAATTATTATGTTTATAGTACTTGTCTGTGTTCTTGAGTTTTTGTTCTTTGTTTGTTAATTGTTATGCTTATAGTGCTTGTGTGTGTTCTTGATATTTTTATATTGATTTTATTTTTAATTTTTCTTATGGTATAATGTGATTGCTTGACTGATATGTGAAATTTGGTTCTGGTTTGGTCAATTGATTGTTGCAGCTTCAACTGTGTTTGTTGAACTATGGATTTCTCTAGTGATCCCTTAGATGAAAGTGTTAGTATGGTGAATGATATTGGAATGAAAACTAATGAAGCAAATGTACATGAACATAATGAATCAACTGAACCAACAAAATCAAATAAGAGGTCTAGGACTCTTACTTCTTCTATGTGGAATTATTTCGATAAACTGCTTGATAAAGATGGGAAAAGAGAGAGCTAGGTGCAAGATATGTGCAAGAGAACTTGTTGGGGGTGAGACTTTAAATGGAACTTCAAGTTTAATTCATCATGTTAACGGTTGTAAGCTAAAGACAAAAGGGTTTGGTGAAAATGATGTTGGTAAACTTATGCTTGATCAAGCTGGAAAATTAAGAGCTAAAAAATTGATCAAAAAATAGTGAATAAAATGATATCCATGATGCTAATAGAGCATGACCTTCCATATTCTTTTGTTGAACATAGAAGGTTTAGACAGTTGCTGAAATATTTAAATCCTGATGCTAAAGTGCCTTCTAGGCGTACTGCTACTATATTTGTGACTAATATGTATGAGCATGAAAAGAGCAAGTTGAAAGAAGTGTTTCTAAAGTTCGTAGTAGAATATGCTTAACATCTGATTTGTGGACTTCATGTACTACAGAGGGTTATATTTCTTTGATTGCATATTTTATTGATGAATATTAGAAACTTAATAGTAAAATTATTAATTTTTGTCATTTGCCTCATCCACACACCGGTGCTGAATTAGCCAAAACAGTGTATGAATTCTTGGAAGATTGGGGGATTGAAAAGAAAATATTTTCTTTAACTTTGGATAATGCATCAACAAATGGTAGAATGGCTTAAACATTGAAAGATAGACTTCTGAATAATAATAATGGCTTGTTATGTGGTGGGGAATTTTTCCGTGTTCGATGTTGTGCTCACATACTAAATCTTATCGTTCAAGAGGGTTTGAAAGTTGCTAGTTGTGCTTTAGACAAAATTAGAGAAAGCATAAAGTATGTTAAAGTGGGTGATATTGATACCAAACTTGGTTTGCGTTTATATGTCCCTACTAGGTGGAACTCCACTTTTTTTATGCTTGAAAGTGCACTTGCATGCCGACGTGCTTGAACTAATCTTGCATTTGAAGATGTGAACTACAAGGGTTTTCCTAATCATGAAGAGTGGGAAAGAGGAGAAAAAATGTGTCAGCTTTTGCATCCATTCTTTTTTATCACTGAGTTGATGTCTGGTTCTTCTTATCCAACATCTAATTTATATTTTTCACAAGTGTGGGAAATTGAGTGTTGGTTGGTAGAAAATAGTACACATGATGATGAAACAATTAGAAAAATGGTAGTCAATATAAAAGTGAAGTTTGATAAATATTGGAGTGATTATAGTGATGTGCTTGCACTTGGAACCATTCATGATCCTCGTTATAAAATGCAGTTTTTGAAGTTTGCCTATTCAAAGATTGGTCTTGATCCAATTTCTTGTCAAGTAAAATTGAATATTGTGAAGCACAAACTGAATTCTCTCTTTCATGAGTATGCCAAGATGTCTAAGAAAGAGTCAACTAGCGATAATGATCATATTCAAAATAGAATGCGTCAAATGCCTACTCCAAGTAGCATGCCTAAAGGAAAGTCACTAGCACTTGTGGATGTAAGTCTATATTTTTTTTCTCTTTTTACTTTCATTTATTTATTTCAGATTTTCAATTATTTGTTGGTTGTTTCTTTTAATCTAACTTCTAATTTTGTGTAAATAATGTAGAAGTTCTTACAATTTGAGAATGATTTTTTGTCACAAGAAGGAACTTATCAATTGGATACTTATTTAAATGAACAAAGGATTTCTTTAACTTACCATCCAAGTCTTGATCATTTGCATTATTAGAAGGAGAATCAACTTAGATTTCCAGATCTTGCATTGATGGCATGTGACATTTTGAGAATTCAAATTACAACTGTTGCATCAGAATCGGCATTTAGCATTGGCTCTCGTGTTCTCAACAAATACCGACGTTGTCTCCTTCCGGAAAATGTCCAATCTTTGATATGTACCAAAAATTGGTTGTTAGGATTTGAGTTTGAAGGTAAATATTACAATTCTTAATGTTTAGTAAAATTGTTTCTTTATAAATTTACTTTTGATTTCAAAATTTAAACTATCTAATATATTATGATTTTTCTTATATTGTAGATGAAGTGGACAAGTCTCCGATGATTGGAAAAATAGAAGATTCAACTACATCCAAGGATTCAAAAAACATTGAATATTATTGATGTTGATTTTATTTAGACTTATTAGTGTTATAGTGTTATTTATTTTAGACTTATTGAGACTTAATGGTGTCATGGTGTTATTTATTTACTTGTTTATCTTGAGACTTATTGAAACTTTTGCTGCTACCTTCCTTTTCAAGTTGCTGATTTCATTTTTAAAGGTGTAGCAAGTTAGAACATTATTTTTTATTACATTTAAAGCATTTAAAATTATTGTTATTTAACAGGTCGCGGGTAAGCTCATTTAGCCTGCGGGTTAAATGGCACGGGGTCGCGGGCCTTAGAATTCAAGACCATTTATGATTGCGGGCTTTTTAAATCGTTTTGTTTAAGCCCGCACCGTCAAAACCTGCGGACTAAACGGGTGGGTAGCCCATATACCCAGCTCTACTATGACTGCTATCTCATTCCTTAAAATTTTTAAATTTCCTTGTATATTTTTAAATTTCCTTGTATTTTAAATATTTTTCTTGTAATTTATATGAATTATCTAATTTCGTATTTCTTAAAATTTTATAATTTCACACCCCATCAAATGTTAATATAATTTCTTAACCTCATACTCTTTTAACATAAATTCATGTATCCGTCTCGATTGCTGACATTCCTGACATAAGGACTGAACAATAAAATCCAGAAAATTGAAAAATTGATCAAAATCGGATTATGTAATTCGGCTTGATTCAAAATTTTCAATTTTGCAATTTAATTTTGGTGTTTCCATATGGAAACCGTTTGAACCGAATTAAAAAAATAAAATAAAAATAAATATCCAAAAAAAATCATTTTGAGTTTATTATAAGATAAATCTAAATAAATAAAATATTAAAACTAAAAATATTTTTTAAAAGCTTAAATTTATATATTTGCACTCAATTTAAGCTTTAAATTTGTTTTTTTAGATTGAGTTTGAAAAATAGTGAACAATAAAAAATTGCAAAATCGTACCACACCAAACCAAACCGAAAACGTAGCTTTTATGCAATTCGTTTCTATTTTTAAAAACCCGCAAAATACGATCCGGTTCATATTTTAGTGAAAAATTGAATCGAATTGAACCGAAGTGAATACACCCCTAGTTGACATTGCTAGTTGGTGAAGATTCTATGTTGTTTGTTGTAGTTATTAATTAAGTTATTTAAGCTAGTAAACACATTTACTTATGAATTAAAGTAAGTTTTTTTTTTTAATTTAGGGATTAAAGTGAATAAAAAACAAATTAAGATGCTAATGTGGGAAATAAAAAAAATTAATCCCTGAAAAATGCAACGTAGTAACATAGGTAGCAAAAAGATGAATAAATAGAAATTGAAAATACCTGCACCAACAGCACTTTGGGGAATTTCACGTTGAACCGCTGAGCAATGTCCTCCCCAAGCGCCGCAGCCAAGCCCTTGGCGCGAGCTCAAGCCGTATTTCTTTGTCAATTCCGATTTAACAAACGCCAACACAAGCGGAGGCGACACCGGCATGCCTGTGACCTTGTATTTCGCAACTGCTCTCAGCATTTCTTCGAAATTAAACCTCTCCAACATAACCACCGAATTCGCTGACAAGACCGCCGCCAACAACATGAAGAAACCGAACAAATGGAGCAAAGGGACCGTGAAGAACATCACCGGTCGCCGGGGCTCCTCGTTACTTCCGCTTTGGTTCGTGTCGAAGAAATTAGTCGTGGCCATCTTTGCGATCAAGTTCTGGTGAGTCATCATCACACCCTTGACTCTCCCGGTGGTTCCCGAAGAATACAATATCGCAGCCGTGTCGGACTGATTTACCTTGACTGTTTTTAACGGCATCGTCGTTGATATCGGACAGAGTTAACAATGAAGTGAACTCAGGCGAAGTCGAGGTGGATAGTTCCGTGTTTAAGAGGTGGGATTTTATGGGAGATTTCTGAAGTAGCGAAAGCAACAACCGGGTTGCTGAGCTGGAACTGGTGAGCGATCTCCGAGTCTAAACCGAGTGGATTAGCGGGAGAAACGATGATTCCCAAAGACAACAAAGCTTAGTAAGCCACGGGGACACAAATCGAAGGTGGAGAGAGGATGAAAGCGACGTCGTTCTGGCGCAACAGAGAGTAACGTTGTTGTAGAGAGTAAGCCAGGGAACGGACTTGAGAAAAGAATTGAGAGAAAGATAAGGATTCGCCGGTGGTTGCGCTGACGGCGAAAGTGGTGACGCCGCAGGTGGACGCCTGGAGACAAAATTCGGAGACGGAAAGCGGTTGATCGATGGGGGGCAAAGGGATGGAGGAGGGTTTAAGGCAATTGTAAGTTCGGATTTCGGATCCATTGAAGGGTGGATTTGGAGCATGCAGATTTGATGCGAGTGATTTTGATATATCAATGGGAAGCTCAGTAGTGAGCTATTCCTACAGAAAAATCCACAAGAGGATCAACATACGGTTCTCAAGTCTCATCAACTTACCATAAAGAGATGTTAAAACCTATGATTCTAACTAGAGTTAGAAACGGGTCGGGCTTTTCTCTACTTCATCCATATTTGATTCGATTTACGGTTCATTTGGTAAAAATTTCTAAAAGTACTTTTAATAAAAAAAAAAAGTATGTTTTAACCGTAAAATCAATATCAAACAAGTAAAAAAATGAAGAAAACGATGGTTTCAAACTAATTTCAAAAATTAAGATTTATAACTTTTTCAACTTTTCGTTTGGAATCAAAATATAATTTTACTCATATTAATGCATGGCCTCCACACAATTATGTATTTATATTTTATTTTAATTATTTAATACTAACATCCTTAAAATCTAATTTATTACTTTTAATAATTCATTTTAGTTTTTTAAAAATAAATAAAACTTGTAATTTATATATTAAAATATTAAAAGGGAGTTATATAAAATATGTTTTTATTATAATTATATTTTTATTTGTGTTTTTTATATTTCTATTATAGTTTAAATTGATATAATTTATATATAATAATATTTTTTTTGAATTTATTATAGTTTAAAATGATATGATTCATATATAAGTGTAAATGTAATTTAGATGATATATTTTAAATTTATAATATAATGTTTATAATGGATATTTTATCTTTTCAAACTCACTTTTTTAACAGTAATCCCAAACAATTAAATTTTAAATTGCACTTTTATATAATACTTATAAAAATTCGTTCCTACAACACTTTTAAAAGTCAATTTTCAAAATTTATACTAAAATGGCCCTTAATTTGAGAGTCATATATTCTTCACTCAACTTTAATCCAATTTAAAGAGCATATTTTCTCTATTTGAATTCGATTCAACTCAATTTTTTAGAGTATAAATCTGATTTGTTGGATATAAAGTAAAATTTTATTAAAAAATTATAACAATTATTTCTAAATTTATAAGAATAATATATATTATTAAAATTTCATTTAAAAATTTAATATCAAACTATTTAAATATATTTATGCACTTAATATTCTCTAATTGATGAGATTTAAATATATTTATACAGTAAATATTATCTAATTTATGAGAATAAGAAGTGTAGACATAAACTTGTATAAATTGAATGTTAAAAAGTTTTAATATCAACCTCGTGTTTATTGTGATATAATAGTTTTAAAAAGGGTTAAATCCATAATTTTACATTGAGTGGAATTCTATTCCTCCTCCCACGTACTACAGTTTAGATGAACTGACAGATATAGAGTGATTAATCAGTTCCCTTCTCAAGATTTTCCCCGCCGCAGATTTTGGTATTGAATTTATAAAAGCAACTCGTCGGATCTTTTTGTATGGTGCAACCTGCAAATGTCAATCAACTTTTGCATAAGACTTATAATTAAGGGAGTAGCTACAAAATTTTATATAAAGTATACAAATGTTCCTCGATCTTTGTTTTGTTTGTATTACTCGTTATTAAAAGTTATAAAATGATTTTTTGATCATATGATATTATTTTATTGAATCCACTAACTATTAAAAATTATAAAATGATCATTTGAATCTTCATACGTTCCCAACTCATCATTTTTCGTTAAAAAAAACTAACATACGTCTGAGTTGGATATTAACTTGATGACTCAGATATGATAAAATTATATTTTAATGATATCTACTGCATCGTCGTTGCTTTCAAGCTCGGGCTCGATGACATAATGTTTCAAACACCGACTAGACAATATAATATAAATGAAGAGTCGATCAATAAAATATAGCTCAAACAATTCTGGGATCCGATTTTATCATAACTTAGTCAAATATTAACGTTCGGCTCAGATAGCAGCCAATATTTTAACGAAAAATGATGAGTTTGAAATATATAAATAGTGGAGTAACCATTTTATAACTTTTAATAGTCGGGGGACTCAACAAAACACGTCCTATAGTCAGATGATCATTTTGTAACTTTTAATAATAGAAAGACTATAGAAATAACATCCTATAATCGAAAGAATATTTTGTAACTTTTAATAATTGAGAGACTCAATAAATGAACATCTTATAATCGAGATACTATTTATCTAATTTACCAAAAAAATTGATCGTGGGCTCAAAATTAAAATAATAATAATAATAAAACATCTAAAAGAAACCCAACAAACTAATGACTAACATTAATACTTGATTATTATAAAATAATTAAATATTAACTACAAGAAACACCAAATAAATTTTAATAATTAACACGTTTCTTTTTCCCATCGACGGTGCTTTTTAATGGGTTTAACATTTGGAACAAATAAATATAAAACTTAAACAAATAAAAAAAACGCATTATATCAAAATTAGCCTTTAATATTTATTAAAATAATTATTTTGGTATATATATTATTTTTTGAAGTATTTTACCTTTCAACGTTTTATTTTAAGACAAATAAAATCATAACATTTAATTGAATAGTCATTTTAATTTATATTCTTTTCTTTTTTTAGAGTATTTTGACCTTTATCATCTCATTTTAAGACAAAAACTCCTATTTTCGTACATTAACAATTTGTTAACTAACATTTTCTATCCACGGTGAAATATTTTTGCCCTAAAAGAAAATGTTGGAGAAAAGAGACAAAATACTCAAATAAAAAAATAGAGATCAAATGACTATTTTTAATAAACGTTGGAGGGGTAATTTTAATATTATGCCATAAAAATGTTATTTTATAACTTGCATGTCAAAAATTAGAGAGAGAGAAAAGACATGAACGTTGGGGTAATGGGATATGAATGTTAAGGAGTTGGAGAAATTTCATGAAGACTTAATTGGTCCAGGAGTAAAGCATGAAAAATAAGATCTTTTAAGTTCAAATATCTGATCAGTTTAAAAATAAATAAATAGACTCTAAAATTAATAATAAAAATATTACGAAGGTTGGGTAGTTGGAGAGATTTCGAAGAAACAAGAAAAACACACAAACGAATGCTCGTGAAGAGGAGGAGATGCAGTTGAGGGAGAAGATAAAAGAAGAGAAATATGTTATTTAATGCATTTGAATGCAAAAGTTGTTGATATTTACGGTATATGTATAAGATTTTATGTTGCAGGAGACGAATTTCTAAAAATTGAATAATTTAAAATTGTTTCCCACTTGCTCTCTCTTCTGCCCATCCTTGGTACCATGCATGCATGACTATTATTAGTAAAAAATATATGAAGATTAGGATAGAGGGTGATGTAGAGGTTGGGGAATCGGAGTGGTTTCAAAGGACAATGGTTGATCTAATTGTTGGAGTTGAAGAGAGTTCAAAAAAGGCTTAATTGAAAATAAACATACATATATTTCTGATGTTGTTTTAGAATAGAAACATACTTGTTTTGCAATGAAATCCATGACTTGTGCCTCTGTGATGCTGCTTCCATTGTTTCTCACTACATATGCCATAGGTATCTCCCCGGCTTCTTCGTCCGCCCACCTGCACTCGTATTCTGTATGAGAATCGTAGCTCTACATACAACAAGCCTTTATACAATTCAGAAAAAAGAGAGGAGAGAATGCATACGGAATCACAGCAGCATCAGCAATTCCAGGATGGGAAAGAAGCAAGTGTTCCAGTTCAGCTGGAGGGACCTGCAATCAGTGAATACGAGTTGGAAGGAGAATATGATCCTCTAAGAATCTTTCAAACATATACGCAGCGTGTATCTAAAATCGAATAAGACATAATGTAGAGCAATTCGTTCACCTGATATGCTTTGTATTTGATCAGTTCCTTCAATCTATCTACCACGTAGAGAAGCCCCTCGGAATCAAAGTAACAAAGGTCGCCAGTTCTCAACCAGCCTTCAGAATCCAGGGTTTCTGCACTTGCTTCCTCATCACCTACATAACCTACATAACCACACCTTTAAGGCTTGAAGGCTTATCCAGTTTTCTATTTTTATACCCAACCAAGATTTCCCAAATCAAAATGATAAAACCGAATGTCATACTTTATATTATAATTTTTAATATTTATTTTGTTTGTGTATTATGGTTAAGTTTTTGTTTTCATTCTTCTTATTGATTTAAATCTTACACTTTTTATCACCTTTTTTTTTAATAAAAATACGAATCTGACACAATGAGATGCCATCACATGTCAAAACAATTAGAAACTGTAGAGAGTAGTTACAGGAAGTTATTATGTTTGTACAGTTAGAGAGTTAGTTAGTTAGTTTATGGTTAGTTAGACTCATTGCAGCTGTATAAATATGTTAGTTTGTAACCTTATACATTAATGAGAAATGGAGTATATTCAGTATTACACGGGTTATACACTTTAACATGGTATCAGTCAGTTTCTTTCTGGGCTATTGGGTTATTGGGCTTCTGTTTTACTAGTCCATTTTTTTTCATTTCCTGTTTTACTGCAAATTCTCAATTTTGCGTTCTGTTCTTCTGCGTTTTTCCCTCTCTCTCTTTGATTCTTCTTCGCGATGCCTCCACGGGACATTTCAGAAATTGATTTCACACATCCCTTGTATCTACACCCGTCTGATACACCGGGTGCTCTTCTCGTTTCTCATCAACTCACCGGCGTCCATGATTACAGTGTTTGGAGTCGATCGATGCGGATCTCTCTGCTTGCGAAGAACAAATTAGGATTTATTGATGGCGTCTGTCGCCGGTCTGATTTTGTGGAGCAACTTCAACCACAATGGGATAGGTACAATGCAATTATCCTTTCGTGGTTAATCAATTCTGTCAGCAAAGATCTTTCGGCTAGAATTGTTTTTTCCTCCAGCGTTGCTCTTGTGTGGTTCGATTTGAAAGAAAGGTTCGACAAGGTTGATGGTTCTCGGGTCTATTTTTTGCACCGAGAAATTGCAACTCTCGTTCAAGGGGATTCTTCAATCTCGTCATATTTCACAAAGTTGAAGCTTCTCTGGGATGAATACGGAGCTTTGGTGCCTCTTCCCTCATGCGATTGTGCTAATGCCCAACAAAACACTACTAATGCTCTCCAGCAACGCCTTTTCCAGTTCTTGATGGGCTTAAATGAATCATACTCTACTATGCGTAGTCAGATTCTTCTGATGCAACCATTACCAAGCGTTAATCAGGCTTATTCGATGCTGGTTCAAGAGGAGTCTCAACGATCTCACTCTACTGGTATACCTTCACTCACTGATTCTACTGCTTTTTATTCTAATGCTTATGCATCTCCTGGCATTGTTGGTCGGCGTCGTTTCAATGGTATTTGTGACCATTGTAAGATTAAATGGCACAAAAAGGACCAATGTTATCGATTGATTGGGTTCCCTGCTGACTTCAAATTCAATTGAAAGAAGGATGCTTCAGTTGCTCTTACTGATCAGCTTGAAGAATCTGTTACAGCTTCAGCTCCTCATATGCCCTCTGCTCCAGTTTTTACTCAAGAACAGTATAACCAGTTACTGAGTCTGTTACATCGAACCCCTACTTCTGAGCCCTCTGTTAATCTGGTTGGACAAGCTTCAGGTACTGATTCTTTCATTAATTGGATCTTGGACACTGGTGCTACTGATCACATTACTTTTGAATTCTCGTGCTTGATAAATCCTGTTGCATGTGCTTCAAAGAATCGTTTTGTTCATCTTCCTAATGGTAAAAAACCCTTATTACCCATACTGGTTCTTACATTCTGAAAAATGACTACATTATTCACAATGTTTTGTATGTTCCTGAATTTAAAAATAACCTTCTGTCAATCACTAAACTGACAAGTGAGCTTCAGTGTGTTATTTTGTTTTATCCTACATTTTGCATCCTGCAGGACAACTCCAGTGGAAAGATCAAGGGGATTGGTAAGGAACATGGAGGTCTTTACTTGCTCGAGTCTTCTTTTGCATCCTCGGGTTTGAGTTCATCTTCTATTCATTATTCTTCTTTTTCAAATTCCTTTATTTGTAAGTTTGTTGATCATCATTCTCCTACCATTACTGAACTTTGGCATGCTAGGCTTGGGCATACTGCCATTAATAAAATTCACAAATTACCTGTTCTTCAGTCTATCAAATTTAATTCTAGTGATGTGCAACATTGTTCAGTATGTCCTATGGCTCGACAAACACGTTTGCCATTTCCTTTAAGTACTTCTAGAACAGATAATCCTTTTGAATTAATTCATATTGATCTTTAGGGTCCTTATGGAGTCTCTACTCATAGTGGACATCGTTATTTTCTTACTGTTGTTGATGATTTCAGTCGTATGACTTGGGTGTTTTTATTAAGACTTAAAACTGACGTTGTTCTTCATTTAAAAGCCTTGTTCATCGTGATTAAAAATCAGTTCACTACTTCTGTTAAGATAATTCGTAGTGACAATGGGTCTGAATTCTTTAATTCGGTTTGCTCTCCTTTGTTTTCTTCTCTTGGCATAATTCATCAATCGAGTTGTGTTCGTACTCCTCAGCAAAATGGGGTAGCTGAGCGTAAACATAGGCATTTACTTGAGGTTGCTCGGGCTCTCCGCTTTCATTCTAAAGTTCCCTTAAAATTTTGGGGTGAATGTGTCCTTGCTGCCTGTTATCTAATAAACAGGTTGTCTTCTTCTGTTCTGTCTTGGCTTACTCCATTCGAAATGCTGTATAAAAAGCCCCTTCCTTGTCTCACATTCGTGTATTTGGGTGTCTTGCTTATGCAACTCAAACTCATGTAACTGTCAAGTTTGCTTCGAGAGCCATTCCTTCTGTGTTTCTTGGTTATTCGTCCACTCAAAAAGGCTATCTTCTATTTGATCTTGAAAAAAAATTATTTGTCAATCGTGATGTTTTCCATGAATCTGTGTTTCCTTTTAGTTTTCCTCAACAATCTGATTCTTTTTTTCCTACTCAATCTTATAAAGATGATTCTGAATTCTTGGTTTTGTCTCAACCTTCTGTCTCTCTTGGTGATTCTTCCTCACCAGTTTTATCCGAATCATTGGTTCCTTCGGTTATTCCGTTGCGTAAGTCTTCTCGAGCATCTAGACCTCCTACATAGCTACACGATTATGTGTGTTCCAATCAGCCTTTTTCTTCTATTTCCACATGTAAGTACCCTCTTATTCATAATGTTTCTTATGCTCATTTACCTGTTCATACTCAACATTTTCTTGCCACCACTTCCTCCATTGTTGAACCATAATCCTATTCTGAAGCCATTTTAAACCCGATTTGGATTAAAGCCATGCAAGAGGAAATTCAAGCCTTATAAAACAATGGTACTTGGTTTGTAGTATCTTTACCTCCAGGAGTGAATCCCATTGGTTGCAAATGGGTATTTCGTGTCAAGTATAGAGCTGATGGTACAATTGAGCGTTTTAAAGCGTGTCTTGTTGCTAAAGGTTACAGTCAAAAGGAAGGTGTTGATTTTGTTGAAACATTTTCCCCTGTTGCGAAGTTAGTTACTGTTCGGAGAGTTCTGGCCCTTGCTGCTATGCATGACTGGCCTCTTTTATAAATGGATGTGCACAATGCGTTTCTACAAGGTGATTTATTTGAAGAAATCTACATGAAGTTGCCCAAAGGTTTTAGCAGTCAGGGGGAGAATATGGTCTGTCGACTGCAAAAATCTTTTATGGTTTGAAGCAAGCTTCACGACAATGGAATTTAAATCTTACTGAAGCATTGGTAGCTGCAGGATATCAGCAGAGCAAGTTTGACTATTCGATGTTCACGAAAAAGGAGGGTGAAAAATTGGTGGTAATGCTCATTTATGTAGATGATCTCCTTTTAACTGGTAATGATTCAGACTTGATTAATGAGCTGAAGGATATGTTGAATTGCAATTTTAAGATGAAAGATCTGGGAGAGTTAAAATACTTCTTGGGGTTTGAGGTTTTGAGGTCAAAGGAAGGAATCATGTTGAATCAAAGGAAATATGCTCTAGAATTGCTAAAGGAGACTGGTCTTGAAGGAGTTAAACTAGCCATGACTCCTTTGGAGCAGAATTTGAAGCTTACTTCTACAGAATATGATGAGCATTTGCAGCAAAAGGGAGATGAAGTATTGGTTGAAGAAAAGTCAACGTTTCAAAGGTTAATTGGAAGATTAATATATTTGACACATACTAGGCCAGATATTACATTTGCAGTGCATCATCTCAGTCAATTTATGCAACAACCAAAGAGAACACATTTAGAGGCAGCATTGAGAGTTGTCAAGTATTTGAAGAAGGAACCAGGTCAGGGGATACTGTTGAAGAAAGCAAGCAAAAATCAGTTGTTGGCATATTGTGATTCGAACTGGGCTTCATGTCCTATGTCAAGAAAATCAGTTACTGGTTTTTGCATAAAGTTAGGTGATTCTTTGATATCCTGGAAATCAAAGAAGCAGAATACGGTAGCAAGATCCTCAGCCGAAGCTGAATATCGAAGTATGACGATTGTTGTAGTTGAAATAGTATGGTTAAAAGGCATTTTAAAGGAGCTACAAGCTGATGTTTCGAAACCAGCAAAGTTGTACAGTGATAGTAAAGCAGCTTTGCAAATTTCAGCAAATCCAGTCTTTCATGAAAGGACTAAGCACATTGATATAGATTGCCATTTTGTTAGAGAAAAAATACAATAAGGAATGATCAAGACCGAGTATGTATCATCTTCAGAACAGCTTGCAGACATTTTAACTAAAGCACTTGGAATACAACAACACAAATATTTGGTGGGCAAGTTGGGGATGAAAAATGTTTTAATCCCTCAACTTGAGGGGGAGTGTAGAGAGTAGTTACAGGAAGTTATTCTGTTTGTACAGTTAGAGAGTTTGTTAGTTAGTTTCTGGTTAGTTAGACTCATAGCAACTGTATAAATATGTTAGTTTGTAACATACATTAATGAGAAATGGAGGGTTATACACTTTAACAGAAACTGATTTTATTATAAAAAAAATAAACCATTAAATATGCAAAATCAAAAAGTAGTATCGTGCGACAGCAAAATGGTAAAAAATTCTTCTTCTTTTTTTGAAAAATCATATCATCAAAACAAATATTTGAAATTTTCTATAATATTTATACTTTTCTGAAATTTTTAATTTTAAAAAATAAAAAAAAATGTTTTTTAAATATACATATGTTAAAAATAGGGCAATATCTACTTACACTCAATACAAAATTCAGAATTTTATACTTTTTCTAGATAATTGGACGAGAGAAATCAAAGGTTGAAAGTAACAATAAAAAATGAGAATGTATTTGAATGGATGGGCGTCAATTTAAAATTTTTACTCGTAATAAATAGTGAGTAGGGGATGGATACGAAAATATTAGGTAGGCATAAGCATAGGAGGAGAGGTATCTACACTCACCCCATCCATTTATCATTCCTATGTGTAAATAATAATTAAAAAAGATTATAAATATATATTATCTTATAATCACTTTAAATTATTAAAAATAATTTAGATTTATTTTTCCATCAATATTAACTTATCATATAAAAGTTTAAATTTGTGACAAATGGCGTACCTTTCATGACTAGTGGCCCTCTCAACAAAAGCTCTCCTGTCTGCCCCGGAGGCAGTGGGTCACCAGTTTCAGGATCTACCACCTTAGCTTCCATATCTGCACCGAGTCGCCCAACTGAACCGTACCCAGATGCCCCCTCCACATCCACTGTACTGGTGGCTCCGCCCATCGTCTCAGTCAACCCATATCCCTTTTTTAAAATCAATCAATCAAAACCATGGTATTAACATCCACCCAAACACGATTGTACTTCTACTATTAATTTCCTATGCTAAGGTTGAAAAAAATATGTGTTCAATATTAATTTGACATTTGGATATAAAGATACCATTAAAGATTATGATCCACTTATTAAGTATATAATTTTTAAAATTTTACTTTTAAGACAAGTAAAAGTAAACATTTAAAATTATTATTTTATTTCTTAATAAATATCTATTAATTCCAACAATCTATTTTCGTTTATTAAATAATCTTGAATATATATAAAATTAAGAAGAAGAAAAAGATAAACTACACCAGATATCACTAAACTTTGTCTGCTAACTTATTTATACCACTGAATTTTGTATTTTACTAATTATAGAATTTAACTTCTGTTTCACATTCAATTATGTTACTCCGTCGTTAAGTCAGTAACAGGACGGTAAAATGACTAACGGTAACTAACTTAACATGTCATCCCAAAACAATGTCGTTTTAGTACAATTGTTCTGATGCCCAAAACGATATTATTTTAGACATTGAACTTTAATAATACATCAATTATATCATTAAACTTTAAATAAATTTATTTTTTACTACTATATTTTAAAGTTCAATGGCACTGTAGTTTATCCTAAAAAAATCTATATGCTATAAATGAATTCCACTTTTATGATTATATATAGGATAAATTACAAATTTCATCAATAAATTTTATTATGTCTCATATTTTATTCATTGAACTTTAAAAGTGTTTAATTTTATCACTAAACTTAATATATTTAATTTTTATGATTATTTCGTCATTAAATAGTTAACGACATTGAAACGACTTCGTTTTAAAAAAATAAAATTTTCACCAAAATAAAATCATTTTGTATCTATATAAAAACTCATTTATAATGTCGTTAGTGAGAAAACGACTGAATGATAAAAAATTTAATATATTAAATTTAGTGAGTATATTAAAAATATTTAAAGTACAATGAGTTAAATATAAAATAAAATAAAGTTTAGTTATAAAATTTGTAATATATATATATATATATTAAAAACAAATCTAATTATATTTGTGTCGAAATTAGATGCATGCTTGATACTTGTACCTAAATTAGAACAACATGGTATATTAACTAGTTTCTTACTTGAACAAGTTGAACAGTGGGAAATTTCTCATTGAACTGCTTAATAACCTCCTTCCCAAGCGGAGCTCCACCGCACCCCAACCGTGTAAGCGAGTTGAGGTCATACTTTGTAGTCAACTCCGATTTAACAAACGCCAACACAAGCGGCGGCGATACTGGCATGGTTGTAACCTTGTATTTCTCAACTGCTCTTAGCATTTCCTCGAAATCAAATCTCTCCACCAAAACAACGGAGTCCGCTGACAAAACCGCCGCCAGCAAGATATAGAAACCGAACACGTGGAACAAAGGCACCGTCACAAACGTCACCGATCCCCGCGGCTTCTCGTTACTCTCGCCTTGGCTCGTGTTGAAAGCACCAACCGCCGCCATCTTTGCAATTAGGTTCCGGTGAGTCATCATCACACCCTTGACTCGCCCGGTGGTTCCCGAAGAATACAATATCGCAGCCGTGTCGAACTGGTCTACCCCGACTTTTTTAATGACATCGTCATCAATATCAGATTGAGTTAACAACGAGATGAACTCGGGCGAGTCGAGTAGGATAGTTCCGTGTTTGAGAGAAGGGATCTTATGGGAGGTTTCTATAGTAGCGAAGGCAACAACGGGCTTGCAGAGTTGTATCTGGTGAGTGAGTTCCGAGTTGGAACTGAGTGGATTGGCGGGAGAAACGACGATTCCCAACGACAACAAAGCGAAGTAAACCACGGGGATATGGATCGAAGGCGGTGAGAGAATGAAAGCGACGTCGTTTCGACATAGAGAGTAACGTTGTTGCAAGGAGTAAGCAAGGGAACGAACCTGAGAAAGGAATCGAGTGTAAGATAAGGTTTCGCCGGTGGTTGCGTTGACGACGAAAATGGCGGCGCCTTCGGTGGAGGATCGGTGGAAAGCTGAGAGACAATATTCGCCGGTGGAAAGCGGTTGATTGATCGGCGGCAAAGGGACAGGTGGCCTGAGGCTACTGTAAGTTCCGGTTTGGTGACAAAATCCGGTTTTCGGATCCATTAAACTGTTCAGAGGAATTGAGCAAATGATTTTGGGGTTTACATTAGGAGACGTCGGTGATTGTTGTGTACCAAATTGGCATTTTAAAAAAACAGAAAATTAAAATTGACACGCAATTCAAAATAAAATACTCAGTAGTTAATAAAGAAATCTGTCATCTTATCTAAAATAAAATAAAAAAGTCAGTCAGAGTGGCGTGCGATTTAAAAATAAATGTATTATATTTAATTATTGGATTAATTAATACATATTTTTATTTAAATTCTTAAAGTTTTTTTTCTATTAAATTAGATATTTAATATTTTGTTCTATAATTATCTTAATATTTCTCTATTTACATTAATATCAACATGTCATTGATTTTATTTTTGAATATATGAATTTTTAGTCAAAATTCAACAACCCAGCACCCACGCTAATGATAGTTTTAGTCAAAGTTGATTCAAGATGCAAGCAAACCAACTAAGGATGAATTAGTTTAATAGGATGATACATTAAATTTTTTAAGTAATGTTAAATTTTTAACGTTTATGTATAGAATAAATTGGGTGTAGAGAGTTATCCTTATCTCCGTAATATCCTATCTGAATTAGTCAATTTAATAAATCAAGTATCAATAATTATATAAAAAATCAAATCAATATTGTAACACCGTAAACCCGATTAGGCCTAAAGTGTTACATTGGACTACTGAAGCAACCCCTGATTTTCGAAACCTGCTCATTTTTTCTTTTTTTCAAATCCACTAAATGGTATCATATTTAAAACATAAATAATTATATTAAAACATTTTACAAAATCGAGACTCTGTGACACATAATTTAAAACCAAAATAATACAGACTTTGAGTTTAAAAGACTGAATACACGAGCAAGGTTCTATGAATACATATGCTCACTAAGCTACGATACAGTAATCTGAAGGAGATGCTGGAAGTCCTGCTGCAACGATAATCTACGAACTGCTCACGCTACTGACATGCCAACGGAAAACATCTGAAGGCTGAGCTTACAAAGCCCAACAGTAAAATCGTTAATCTAGAGCAGCACAAGAATTTCATAAACCCAAGCATGCTAAAGACATATCTCTAAGTAGTACGTACATGCATGATTTAGATCAAGTGTTATCTACTTAAGGCTTAGTTATTCTATCTCTATAGTATGGGTTTGTAATGAATGAAGCTGTTACGTATTATCTAAATGTGACATTGGCTCTATTGTGCATTATCTTAATGACATGCTAACTCTGTTGTGCATTATCTGAATGCAATACTGACTCTGTAGTGACTCGTATATTATTTGAGTTAGGCATCATGGTGTTGTTGAGGGGCTGCATCTCGGAGCTTATGTAGCCCTCTATCATACCAAATACTAATATACGATACACAACAACATACAATAAGTTGTGGTGAGCATCATGGTGCGATTGAGGGGCTGCATTTCGGAGCTCGCGCACCCCTCTAACCTGTCAGTATACCCTCAGGTACATCAGGGTGAGATATGAAATATGCATCGAAAATATACACCCGTCAACTTATTTCGTCGAGTCTTGGGGCATCTGATCCAACTGGAAAATAAAGTATCGTAACACTGAATGGGATATCCACTAAATGACAAACAAGACAATCACCCTACTTCTAAAGTAACTCGGGTGTCATGGTTGTTTCTCGAGTGTCACACAAAGGCTAGTTTTATGTCATCTTAACTGTTACTATTTCTAGATATTTATGTTACTTTTTTTTGTTGTTATTGATTATCTATATTGATCTAGTTATACACTAATAGAGGATATTTTAGTCATTCTCTGACTCTGGGAAGTCTCTACGCGATTCAAGACTTCACGGAGACTACTGTATTTACTACTTACTAGCTAGGGTTCTAATTAACCCGGTATATGACTCAGGTTAAACTATGGGTAACGATGCTACAATCAATCATCCTACGCTTTCCCTCAATTAACCCTCGAATTAAATGAATAAATATGCATCCAACACTCTCGGTCGTTCTTGAGACATACAACATTACTGTCTCATAATCTGATTACTTGGTCATACATTTCGTCGGTACACCCAGTGCACTGATTTTCCATCCATATATGTATGTTACATGCTTACTGAAGATACTTGGAAGTAATACACCTGCTATGGTTACACTGCTTGTAACCCACTCCTACGAGTGTCTCTGGGTTCCTTTGACCATTTACGTCCCTCATGGACTAAGTTTTATCCTTACTGATTATCGTAAACTCTTACGAACCTTAATTGGGTCGAATGTGATCATCTAGGATAGGTAGTATCGATACTTTAGTTGTATTATCAATACTCTAGGGTCAAATATCGATAATCCTATTAGTATCGGTACCAAAAACATATTCTGCTCTTGAAATTGGGGCTTGATCTCGAGACCAACACTTTCAATCTCAAGATTGAAGGGGCAATATCGATACTCCTTTAGAAGTATCGATACTCCTTTAGAAGTATCGATACTCTCTGCCCAGAAATCCTAATTTTTACCCTGATTCATACGATATCGATACCGTTTATCCCAGTATTGATACTCGAACCTAGAAACTAATATTTTAGGCTTGAAAAAACACCTAAAAGCATCCTAAGTGATTTGGGTTGCTTCCTAAATTGATTTTGAAGTTTTAGTAAGTTATTTAGGGTCCTTAGGTGTCTTAAAAACACATTCTTAACATCCAAAACCTGATTAAATCTTGAAATCAAGTTTAAACCCTAATATGTTCATATACTCAAATATTAGCAAATACTTGAAATTTATGGAATCTTAATACTCTAAAGGAATATAAATACACTACCTTACTGATTGAAACCTAAAATATAGCTCCTTTAGCTAGAAAGCATCCTCCACTTTGAATTGGATGATAAAACCCCCAACTTTCTCTTGCAAACAAAGAATTCATGGCTTAAATGGTTAAATCCATGTTGCTTGAGGGATTAAGAACAAAAACAAAACTTGAAAGAGGCAAGAAAATGCTCAAATGACTCACCTTTGGCTTGAGGAGCTTGAGGAGGGAGAATGAACAAATGGAAAATAGGAGGAAGAAAATAAAATGGGAGATATTTATAAAAACCCTCATCTTTAAAATGGAAGAATTACATTGTTGGTACCTCCTCATTTTCTTACTACATAAAATCCTCTTTTAATGGCTAATTGTGCCCTAGACCAACCCAATTAAGCTCAACGAATTGAATTATAAATTATGTGGGGTATACTTACCTCTCGGGTAAATCTGAAACTACTAGCTCGAAATTTGGGGCGTTACAACTCTCCCCTCCTAAAAAAATTTCATCCTCGAAATTTACTTGGACTGAAAGCAACATACCTTTTGGCTAAACACTGAGGCTCTTATTAGATCTGATCCTCGAAGAAGAAGACCTTGCAACCACACATGTTGTTTGGGACCTGTAAAATTGGTCTACGATTTTCTGAGGGTGCTACTAATGTTGAACTTTAAGCGAAAACCTTCGAGAAACATGAAGCCAAATAATTTACTTATTGTCTGCTACTGTACGCTTGGAGTATTTTCCAATGATGATGTTACTCCAAGACTCATTGTTATCCCTAAACCCTTTACTGGCTAACTTTAATCAATCTAGTTGACTTACTGCATAACTCAATAATCCCTTTTAACTGCTGAACATAGGTGACTAATCGTTGTACCTTAAGATCTTATGCCACCTGTCGGTGTTGTCTCGATACCACTATTGAAGACATATTGATAACTCTCGATCAATGTCGATCTCTATACTTCTACTGCGCAACTCTGATCTAATATTCATCCAGGATATCTGACTGTTTATCATTTACCTTGAGATCTACATGCGTTCTACTAGCTTGATGGAGCATCTGATGCTCCAACAGCTGGAAATCGGCTACTTACTGAGTGAAACTAACAACATATGGCACTTTCGGAGAGCATGCCTCACAAGGCTAAGATCTGTCACAACCGTACTCTAACTAAAGACTTTGAGATTCTATGTCTGACACTCACTGTTGATTACCACTACTGAGCTATCTGATAACGGTTAACGCTAATCAAACATAGCTTAACGTACTCAATATCCTTTAGTCTGAAGCACTAAAATTCTTGGTATTACATAATATTGACTACTGTTGTGTGTTGTATATAACACGCGCTCATATACCAACATGAAGGCACCACAAAGCTCGGCTCACTTAGCTGATTAATTTACCGTTCATGTAACTAAACATCTTGGTGACGTCGGGGGTTCACTGTACCTCGAGACTCACAACTCCCCATAGCACCTATAGTAACTTTAGAATCTAGGGTGAAATTTCAGAACTGCTACATCGAAATATACACTAAGCTAACTTACTCATCGCAGGTACTTAGGGCATTTGTGCCCAATTAGCAACTGAAGTGCATCGACACTTGTTGAAACATTTTCTGATATTTCTGACAACAAAGTTATCGCTACACTGGCAACAACAACCTGAGTACTCATAACACTCTCGTGGAGACCTCTACCTCCAAAACTAAACATGGATTACTAATTTTCTGCGGTTCAATCGTATGAACCCTCTACTGACGATACAAAACATACTTATAGTCTCATATATAAAGGGACCATAAGTAAGGATACTCACCTAGGGAACACGCAAGGGTGAAAGATTATGTGGCTAAACATTTCCTTAGAGTTGATATGTAACTCAACAAAGGGAAGCCAAATATTCGTCTGGTCTTGAATCCTAAAATTCTGGGGTCAAATAACACTTGTGCTAACAATTGCCCTTAGATCAGCGGTCGAGTCTGATCCTAAGCCTTCAACAACTTTCTAATGTAACCTTGCTTAATTCACTAAGGTTTACCTACTAGCCACTCAGATCCGCATTTTTGGATTCTTTACCTAACATCTTATTTGTGACATCAACATCTTGATCTTGTCTCTATTTGATCTGCCAAGTTGAATCGAGAATTGATTGATATGTTTCTCTATTTTCCTGTTCGAGCATAGAAATGACACCTCCCTGAGAAAGTTCTCAACCATGTTAAACTATTGAGATCACTTTCTTTCGATCAAGTTGAAACATCACCCCACGAACTAGGGCAATCTTTCTCCATAAGCGCTGATGATCTACATCCTAACTCTTCCTTAAAAAATTAAAACATCTTCATCATTGTTTATTACCTCAGTACTCGCACTCTAGGCAATCCAAGACTCTACTGGAGATTCTAAAGCTCGACACTAATGATGAAGCTGACAATCTCCTATGAGACCATGCAATTAACCTATGACTTGGCTGGAGTGACTGAGCTGATGTCACTATTCTCTGCTCACGTAAAACTCTAGTCCTCCCTATTACTGATTGAGATAAACCTATTGATACACAAGTCCTTACACTCGGGGTGCCTGACTCATCCAACAACTCATCTTCATGTTCTGCTATGAAGCACTCTAAGCGAGTCTGTCGCTAACTGCACACTGATATCCAATTAAATCCCCTAATGAGGCCCCTTTCACTTAAAGGACTTGGTCACAACCAACTCTAGAACATAACAACTCAGCCTAAGAATGTATATTTCTCCTATTCAAATACTATGTGACCTACCTAAACTAGCTGAGAGAACTGAAATCTCAATTTATCTATATGAGTCTCACTAATATAATTAGTTTGAACTCGTTTGGGAACTGATTCCACGTGGACACATCTGGCTGTAGGGAATCCATATAGTTTTTAACTATTCAATAGCATTACCCTTGAACATAATTGTGACACATTCTATCTTAATTTTTGAGGTAAGGTGAACCTGCCTGAAAGTCCAATGGGCTATTTCTGAACCACTGATCAGCTGAGATTGGATTTTTACTGCTTGAACCAATGAAGTCAACTATATGGTATTTCCTTAACCTCTTTACTGGGGATTTTGTTGGCACTAACGCACCCTAGGTGTTTAACTGAACTGTCTGCGCTCTAGGAATAACATTCACTACCTCTGAGAGTAGAAGTTAAACCTCTAAAAAATGTCGCCTCTGTGACGCTTGTTCCTGAC